TATGTAGCCCCGAAAACAGCTAATATTGACAGCTGCCAACGTCTTTCTAGAAACGACGGTAGTCATTCTTGACTATATCCCCAGACGAATCTTTCAATTTGTTGATAAAAATGAATCTGTAGAACCTCGTTAAAGAATTGTAGTGATATAGCGGATCAGACTGAGGAATTGGAGAGCCGAGTTCGAATTCCAGTCGAATCCATTACATCCATTTACGTGCTAACACTCTTGAGGAAGATATGAATCCGCTTCTTCTCCCTCCGGCCATGGGTAAATAGCAGGGCAGACCGGGTTCTATAGTTTTGGATGGCAACTGGTCTACCGCAGAAAGAAATGGCAACCAACTGTGGACAAAAATCTACCTCGTCAGTCATGTATCGCGTAAGTGTGTATCACGCATGGCACATAACTGACTGAGTGAGATCTGTAAAAATCACAAACACCGGCTCACACAGAAATTGATTAATTTTTGGGCAATTTTTCGGTTTCAATTTCAATTTCCGCATTCGGATATCTTAACCAATCAGCGATGCTGAGATCGTTGAAATTTTCAGATAACTATGTCTATCGTCTGCAACGAAATTTTTAGGATCACTTTAGAATATGATCAACAATATTTTCCTCTTTAAAATAGATATTTTAAATTTGGGAAATATTTAACCAATAAACTCTGAGTTTAGTAAAAAAAAAATCTAACTTTTAGATTTCTGGGCCTATTTATTTCTTATAAATATTCGTGATGTTAAGTTATTCAGTTTTCAGTTTGGCGAACCTTTGACTTCGGATGGTTGTTCGTTGTTGGAAATAAGCTGGATTCTCACACCTTTCGCATATTTTATTCGAGTATACTACTACGAAAGCTTAGCGATGCTATATTAAGCTCATTTAGAACATACGAACCGAATTATTGTCAACACAAATTTTAGAAGTATAATTAACACAGTTTCTTTGCCTGCTGACATGCGGTTACTGCTGAAAAATTAGACGCATTCATAAAACAATGTAAATACGTTGCATTCTTCGTATGTAGACACATTGTTTCTCCTATCATACTAACGAAATTGATTTAGTTGTATTGTAAAGAAAGACAAACAAAATATTTTTGTGTGAAGTTATTTCGCAAAGATTCTTTGGGATTCGTTTCTTTCAATTTGAAAAAAAACAAATACGCAATAGTAAACATTATTTAAATTTATAGAGCAGCGTTTAAAAATGGTTTCTTTTCGTTTTCAAACGCCTAAACCACTGCAAATCCAATTCTTCCCCCTGTACCGTGTCTCTTTAGGACATTGGCGATCTTGATTCTCCACAATTTCCTATCCTCTGTCGCTCTTAGTAAATTATGTCTTTCTTCTATCTCTTCTAAACCTTGTTCTGCCATCCATTTTACACAAGCTCGTTAGGTATATTATGTGCTGGTTTCCTCTGTCGTTCTTGCCTTCAATCTGTCCTGTGAGTATCAAATTTTACAAGCCCTATTTCCTCATTATGTACCCTAGAAATTTAAACTGTCTCTTTCTGATATTAAGCATTAGTGTCTTGTTTACATTTTCTATAAAACTTCGTCGTTGTTCACATGTTCAGTCCATGGTATTCTCAGCATCCTTCTGTTGAACCGCATTTCTATTGCTTCAAAACACTTTTTCATCTGTGAGGAGATTGTCTAATATTCATTACCATATAGGAGGACTGCTATTACATAACAATCCAGTACTATTTCTTTGTTTCTAACGAAATGTTGCAGTTTCTTAATACATTGCTTAGCTTTTGGAAAGCATATTTCGCTATCCTAATGCACCTTCGAATTTCAGTGTCGCACTTTCCGTCCTCTATTAAAACACTTCCCAGATATTTAAATTGTTGTACTTGTTTAAATTTTACTCCTCCAATTTGTAATTTGCATGTTGGGCTCATCTTTCTGCTAACAACCTTGCATTAGTCCTTTCTTCTCGCTTTCCTTCACTAGCTTCTGTAGCAGTTCTTGCAGTTTGCTTTCTGCGCTTGCCATTAACACTGTGTCATCTGCATATGTTATGTTGTTAAGATTGTGACCGGCAATAATGAATCCTGGTAGACTTCTACGATGACTAAAACTTGGTTTAAATTGATTTGAATTAAAGGATCGGTTTAAATTTCAAAATTACAAATATTTTTTTTCTTCTTTTTTATTCTAGAAGACAGATTTTGGTCCATGCTTAAACCACTGATCTACATTTTTAATTCGTAGTGGTTTAGTTTACGCAATATTCTTTAAAAAAAACTATGACAAAGTCTATCTAGATAGACGAATGGTTAGAATTTTTAGCAACCTTAGATACATTTCTGTGCGCATTGAAAAAAAAAAGCCAAGGCGAACAAATGGTTTTGTATATAGCTTTGCCCTACAGGACAACGCCTTTGATAAATCAAGCTGGTGTCGTTTTAGCAACAATGGCAGCTACTGCAGCAGCAACAACGGTGCTGCTTTTACACCTAAGTGACAGCAGATACATTCGAGGCT